ATTAATTATACGTACAATTTCAGTTCTGGTACCCTTAGTGAAATGCTACATGAACGCCCATTAAAAATACCGGATCCTTTTTTGCGGAACACTAGTTTGTGTCACGTAGGAATGTAGGGCACCGATTTTGATTGGCTAACGGCCGAGTTTCTTCAAAATTTTGGCTCGCATTGCTAATTTCCGGCCGGAATTAACTTTAATTTTTTCATTACAAAAATAGAAATTTTTTAAAATAAGCCCGCATTATGGTAAAATTGATCCAGGAGGTTGCGATTTTATTAGTAAAATTATGAGTAATTCCGGTCTAATTTTTTGATCGTCGCTCTTAGCTAGCGATGTAAACCAAACCCGATAGTTTGGGATTTAGTAGATTCCCAAAGGTTTTTACTAGATTCGACAATTGTGTCGTAACTATGTTGTAACATAAATTTATGTATCGCTGGCTAGAGCACGAATCATAAGGCAAATAAATTGTTATTGTCTAGTGATGCAGGAGAATTATTTCCACAATTCCCCTGCACTCTCACATGCGCCACATTTGTTTCGTCCTGCGCCATGTTTATTTCGTAGAGATGATTGGTCCTTGAGGTTTGGGATATGCAAAAATAAATGGGCACCGGTTTGAATTTTGTATTGGGTTTGGAATTAACAATGGTCAGAAAGTCGTAATTGTCCCAGTTTACGTTGCTAGTGCCTAAACCCAAAAAGAAGGCGAGACCGAAACCTCCTAGTGAAACAATGAAATCCTGCAAAATTGCAACACCCAGTAAAACTTTAATGAATAAAGGCTATTGGCAAAAGTAAAAAACTCCTGATTTTGAAGGTCTAATAAACAATGGGATAAATAAAAAGTATTTTTAAATGAGTATATTGTGGCTATTACAGTATTAGACATAACGAAATATCGGCGGATCTGCATCACATAATTTAATAGAGCTATTACACGGCGGGCAGATATTGACCCCGGGTTAACAGGTCATAAAGAAAATCAAAGATTTTAGTTAACACTTACATAAAGTTGATGTAGCGACTCTACTACTTAGGTCAATAGTCAGTAGGTTGCTCTCGAGAGAATTTATAAAATCTTATAACTTTATGTTGTGCCTGTTATATTAATATATAACAAATACTTGAACTGGAATTTGTATTGAAAAATTTCTCAACCTTGCCCGTAATTTGAGTTCATCCATTTTCTACTTAAGAATTACTTTATCACTAGATTTTATCTATATTATCCGTGAATTTTATCCATCCATGACCCGTACGAGTCAAACCGACCTGGGTAAGAGTAGTGTTCCGCAAACTGGATTCGAGATTCGGGTTCGATCCGCAAATTCATATATTAATAGGATTGTGCGTGGGTTAAGATTCAGGTGCGAATCTTGCTTCTTGTGAACGTAGCGCGTTTATTTCTTATCGTTATGCTTGTTTTCTGAAATGAGGTTATGATTAGTACGTAATTAGTCAAGTTCCAAATTAAGCATTTATTAAATATACTTACCGCGCGAAATAGCGTCATTTTGAAAATCGGGTGCTTCAAAAATAACATAAGGGTTAAAGGCATTTAGTTATTGCAGGCTTTTCAAACACTTTGTATTTTAGTCTACTATACTCCTAGATTAGTAAAGGCAGGATTGCCAAAGTTAAAAAAAAAATTAATAATAATAATTTTTTAATTACAGTAAAAATTAAATAAACCGTAATTAGTAGTTTAAAATTCAATTTTTTATATACTACTAATAATAAAAAAATTTAAATAAATTTAATAAAATAATTAAGAATTTAATTTTAAAATTTCGCTTAATTTTTAAAATGTACAAAAAAAATTCTTGCAAACATTTAGCATAGTAGTTTGCACTTTTTAAATTGCAAAATATTTCGCCATCATGAAATAATTTCGCTCGAGTAAATATTTTAGATTCATATAAAATACTATTAATTCATAAAACACTATTAATTCATAAGCGCTCACTCTGCGACTCTTATAAGTACACAACACTTTTATCGAAATTTAACTTTCGCAATAGCTTACTGTGTTTAGAGTACTGTTATAGTTAGAATTCACTTGTGGAGACTTTTAATAATTTTCTCATTAGACAACATTACAAATATCTTCTACAAATGTATATTAAAAAAATTTTGATATTTAAAATCTATTTAATTAAAGAAATGTTCAACCTTGGTCATATAATCATATGACTTTTGGTCATGTCACATCGGTTATATCAAACATTAATAAAAAAAATTTTTTTACTATGATTCTTACTATATTAAAAGATCATAAAAGATCATAAAGTCATATAAACCTTCCAAATGACCTATCACTGATTAAAGGTGATAATCTAATCATCTCTCATGTCTTTAATCCAATTTGAAACTTTCATTCCCATTATTTCACCATATCCTATAATAATTTAAGTTTTTATTAAAAAAAAACTCTACTTCAAAAAATCTTAAACTATAAATTACTCACCAATCACAAAAGAATGTGGCAATCCCTGATCACATAATAAAATCTTTCCTTCCGGAAACCTTTTTATCATATCTTCATAATGACTTAAGGGTGCCCAGCCATCACCATCAGAAAAATAAAATACAAATTTATTCAAATTGTTTTTATAGAATTCTTCATCCAATTCAGTAATAACTTCCATCTCTGTTTTTGCCATATAAAGAGCATTTTTAACTATATGGCCGTGAAGTAATTTATCAGTAGTGATGCTAAGATAAGGATCAGATTGAACAGTACATAATCTTATCAAGAATTTGAAAATTGAAGGAAATAAATTCGTGCGAATTAGTTGGACGAATGATGCTGACATGTTCCTTTGAAATTCACCAAATAAGAGAGGCTATTATTGAGGATGAGATGTTTAATTAATTTTTATCCAAGAACCTTATTAGAACGTTTTTAATATCGAAAAAATTACAAGAGCCTTACATTCAATATAGCACCATTAGGGGTTTTTAGAATATGTTGTAAAGTAGGAAATAAAGCGTATACCATTTCAATTCCGTGATTTGGACGCGCTTTTAATATCTATACCGAAGAAGTGATGATTAAAACTGTTAGCGCAATATTTTATAATAAAATTTGGGAGTAAATTACTATATATTTATCTTTTTATAGATATTCCTTATATTAAAACTTTTGTCATTAAGTAAATCTTTCTGGTACTTTAAGTCATAGCAGTTTGCCGGTTATGACGGTAAAATGGCTAAAGTGCAAGATATGAACGTTTAAGCCTTCAAGTTATGATTTTTATTTGTAGATGCAAAGAATAAATATTTGAATCGTGAAGACTTAAACGCTTGTACCTTGCGATCCATTAGGTCAATTTTGACAGTTTTACTATTATTAGAACTACTACTATTAGAACCATTTTACTATAAGTAACAACTAAACGCTAATTTTTTAAAAAAATCTACTCCATTTTTATTATATTTTTTATACGGTATTATTTCTGTACTTGATAAAAAAAGAAAAAGAAACAACACCTCTTTACAAATATGTGCACCAACGGAATGGCCAGCCAAGATAAATTTCGGTTTAACGTCCCCCTCTTTTTCAAATTTCTCTCTTAGCTTATCAAGACACATGATTTTATGTTCAATTTGATCTTGTAACGAATAAAGGGCCTCTGTGGATTGATTGTGTGGATCATGCGAATGGCCTAGATGTGAAACTATTAGAGTTTTTAAATTTTAGCTTCAAGTTAGAATAAAAGTAATCATGTATATTTAACTAAAATAATACCTCCAACGATATTAATCAATTTCCCATGTTCTTCGTAAATCGTCGTTAAAAAATTGGTATAATAATCAATAACGCCAGGATTACCAGGTATCATGAAAAAAATCAAATTATTTTTGGATGATTTTTTAGTTTGTTTGTCAGCTGGAAACCATAATGTTTCAGTTAAGGTTCCTGAAACATCTAATGTCGTTTTTAACGGATATTCGTTTTCGGACATTCTTTGAGCGCTTCTAAAATTACGAATTATTTTTGAACTACAGAATTGTTTAATAAGAAAAAAAACGTAATGCATTCTTTTGATTTATATATTTCTATAATTATCCAGATACAGATATACAGCATAAAATTGTAACACAACTCATGATAGCATCCTACACATTCGGAAAAATTGCTTATTATGGGTGCAAGAGATCAACTATCATTACAGAACGTGATCGAATGACAAATATGTATGTTGTAATTCCCCTTAACGTTAGTGCATAAAATTATGCCATTACGCATATCCCTTACAGATTAAACTCAATCCCGTCGTACAGTAGTCACAGCAACTACTTGCTATAACTTTAACCTGCTATAAATAGATTGAAAAAAAATCCAGGAACTTGAAAGTATTTAGCTTGCTTTGATTTAACATTTTAAGATAGTATTTTTTGGTTATATACTATTTTTTTAAAGGAAGGATTAACAATTTAAATTTCATCAATTTTATTTGTTAGGACTAGGTTGTCTGCACTGTACATGAATTTTAATATTAGAAGATTAACGTAAAGCACGAAACAAGTAGTTGACCATGCCACCATGCTGTCCGAGCACTTTCCTAGCAAGATCAGCTGCATCAGGTGCAACATTAAAACAATCCACCATGGACAGATATTTCATCGATTCCCCACATTTTTTAACCAAGTATGCCACACCACATCCGGTTATATTAGAACACCAATTAACGTTAACCTCCTTGAGATTAACACAGCAATCTGCCAATTTCTTCAATGAATTGTCGGTTATGTTATTCTGTTTCAATTCAATAATTTCCAATAAAGACCCAAATCCCAAGTCCAACATTTCATTAATGCCTGAATCAGTAATTCCCGGTGACTTTCCTATTCTAAGGACTTTTAATTGTTTACAATGTTTTCCGATATGTTGAGTCGCTTCATCAGTTAATTTATAACTTCCGTTCAAAGTAAGCTCTTCCAGATTAATACAAGACGTCACCAAATATAGGACGCATTTATCAGTTAAATCTGGACATTCCTCCAAAACAAATTGCCGAAGCAGCGAACATGCTGATGTAAAAATTATGAACGCATTTTCTATGCATAATCCATCCTCATACATATTTCCAAACATACTAATGGATTCCAGATTCGAGAAATGGGCCAGGTCGGCCAGCGTTCGTGTTGTTATTCCGGAAATTCCATGGATATTTAGGCGTGTGATATTTGGAAATAGAATTAGCATAAAGGAAACTACTGTTGTGTTAATCCATTGACAGCCGTTTAAGTCGATATCTTGAACTGCTAACGCTTTACATTGTCCTTCACCTAGATCGAACGCTTGAGAAGTTATCTTAGTACATACTGATAACTTTAATGTTTCAAGTTGAGAGCAGTGCATTAATATTGTTCTAACTGCCCTATCGGTAATATGAGTATTTGAAAAATCAATTATTTTTAATTCTAAACCAATCGTACGAATGAAAATAACGATTGCAGTCTCAGTAATCGTCGTATTGAAATTTAATTCAAATGTTTTCAGATGATAGCACGGAACCGCTCTAAAAGTCTTTAAAGTTTTATCACTAAGTTTTCCAGCATTATGACATATAAATTTCCGAATTTGTAGTTTTCCACGATTCACATATGTACTAACAACCCGGTCAGTAACTTCGGATCGATTAAGCGTGAAATCTAGATTTCTCCATAAACATTGTGAATTGATAATAAAATTTCGCCAACGTTTGGAAACGATCGACGCTTTACAAATACTAGCCAAAGGTAAACATTCGAAAATCCAATGTGCAAGTTCAGTCGGAAGCATTACTACTAAATCGCAGGTTTTGGTGGATTTATTGACAGTCGATTTCTTATTTATAGATGATCCAAACCAAAAGCGTTAGATGGAGTTATATTTTATATGTAGATGAATAGATTAACATTTATATACCTGTAATTTTTCTTGCATCTCTTTAGCAAGCTTATGTAATAACTAAGATTATTATAGAAAGATTAACATTCATTATAATTTAATGATTAATATTTATATATTAAATTTTGTATTAATAATAAAATTTGACGAATACCGATAATAATTGATCATTTTGTTTAACTTCTTTAATACCCATATTGTATATATCTAGTGCCATATCATTTTGACCTAGTAGTCGGTATAGTTTACCGGCACGAAGATAACCCTAAAAATCTGAAGATTAGATCCAAAATCAAAATTAACAATTTACAGTGTAATTTTTAACCTTGGCCGAAGTCTTTTCTAAATTCATCATAATTTCAGCGTCTTGCAAGGCAGAAGTAAGCTGACCAAGTTTTTCACGAGTCGCTGCACGAGAATCATAAAGTTGAATATTATTTGGGTCTAGTCCGATTGCCTTTATAGTTTTAAAGTTTTATTTATTATTTAAAACTATATAACTCTAATAGGATAACAAATATATTACATAAATTATAAACTGACCTTCGTAAAATAGGTCTGCGCTTTCTCAAATTCTTGTTTTCTAAAAGCGGCTAAACCATCATGATAGTGCTTTTGGAAGCTTTCTGTGGAGTGTTTGATCATTGTAGCCTTAAAGCAGTTAATCCGAAAATAAGGAATATTTTATGTTTTTTGATGCGAAAGGACGCGTCACATCACGTGTACATCTACTAATAGACTAAAAAGATTTTGAAACTTTAAATTATTATGTAGATAATCAACCGACGATTGGTTGGGATTGGTTGGTCAACTAACGATTGTGGCGCCTCCCGATAGTTATTTAGTTATCCAAATCAAAGTATTGTTTCAAATGTTTTGTTCTACAACATACAAAATGCTTAATAAACAACTTAATAAGGTTATTTGTTATTTAGCCCCTCACACAGTAAGAGAGTTAAAAGAGTTAACGGTTATATTAGTTCGTCTAATAGCCGTTGGGAAAAGTTCCCCGCTTTTTTTTTTAGCTTTTTATCTTTTTGCGACTTTGGCAGGCCCAAATTCTCAAAACATAATAGTAGTTGCTGTGCAATTTAATCTTTACGAATCAATTACCTTCTTTTTCACCATTTCATTACCTTCTTTTTCACGACAATCTTTTATGAACCTACAATGGCAGCACGCGTAATACTCATCGGAATTGGTGCTTTATTTTCTGTTAGTTTTATTAATCATTAATATTCCTTTTTTTCGTTATTTTTCATTCTTTTATGACTAATAAATAATACTTTATAAACAGATTTATTGTATTTCTGTAGTAATTCTGACGTTCCTTGGTCTAAATTGTAAGCGTATTGAACATTAAATCATAGATAAAAATAAAAGAACATATATGCTAATATAACATTTAATATACTTAATAGTTGCCGTTTTTCATCTTACGAATTTTTTCCTTGTTGGATTCGCCGCTATATATGGGGTACTTACACCTTTTGGGATATCAGGAATTATTGGTGGCTATAACGTAGGTTTCATGAGTTTTGCGAAAAATTGACATATAATTAGATATATTTCATCTAAAAAAATATATGTACTTTTATTTTAGCGTAAAAAAGCCTTGTTGAGGAGCTTTATTATCCAGTTTTGGCTTGCTTCTCTGATTCTCATTGGAATCAGTGTTGTCAGCATCTTTCTTGCACAAAGTTTTCGGAATGATACAATCCGAAGATGCCAAAGTGATCTTTTTTTTCAAAATAATCCTAAATCAACTAGTTGTTCTGATAAAGTTTCCTCCGCACAGAGAGCAACTTTAATATTTGCTATTGTTCAAGGATCGATATTAGTGAGTATTAGAAAGTATTTACTGGCTAAAATTATGTTGTATTGAATTAATGAGATTCTATATATTATGCATGTTTAGATACTTTTTGGAATTTTTGTATTGATATTTGGTATACGTGAATGTAAAGATATATTAATAGAAGAAGAGGCAAACAGCCTTATTGCAAAGGTTGATTTTAAAGAAAATAAGAAAGAAAAGGCCTCATCTCCATCAAACGATCGCTATTCACCTACCACACCATTGCATCGTAATAACAGTAGTAACAGTAATAGCAGTTATGCTAGTAGTAATGATGATGGCTATATTGATCTTGGCCGTGATCCTAACACCATAAGCAACGTTGTTCCGCCACGATATAATCAAGAATACGTATATCCAAACGGTGAAACGCCTATAACACCTATGCCTGCACAATATACGAATATACGTCGCCAACCAACCAACCCCACTCGGATTCCTTCTAACCGTATACCGGGTAGTGACTTATCACGTTACCCGAATGCCGTTAATAACGTATCTACAAATAGAAATCCTGCCACTGTAACACTTCAAGCTACAAACGGCAATGATAATTATTCACAAAGAGCGTTTACAGATGATGTTTACACGAGTGCGCCGCCTCGTAGACCACCAATGAACCCTAGTCGTTCATTATCCGCTAAAAAATATAATAACCAAACCAACCGAATACCAGTACAATATTCATCACAATCATCACCAATACCTACTGTAACCACAAGAAATGGACAAGCTAACAATTGGAATGCGTATAACGATGATTATAATGATTACAATAGTTATAACTACAAATACGTGTAACAATTCAAATTGAAACCAATTAATATTCTTGCATTTGTAAAATTTTTCACTTTTAATAGGTGTTTAGTTTTTAAGCAAAAAAAAGTAATAATAAAAAAATAAAGTTTAAAATTTTTCATAATTGCAATGGTGGAATATAAATACTACAGTACTGTCACTATGATTTGCTTTGATTCACGCTAAATTATGCATGGTTCCGTCCGTGGTATTTCATAGATTCTACGTGTTTCTTCATTACAAAATAAAGAAAAAAAATTGAATTTACCTGTTTCCTGATAATTCGTAGCAGTTTCTGTATCGCCTAGCCGCACCAAACTTATTACGGATTCTCTATTTTAATTGGCTACTTTTATTTAAAGCGAACAATTGCCTAATTCTATTCATCTTTCATTCAGTTTTAAAAATAAAATTCTTAAATTTTACAAGTTTGTAAAATTTCTATTTGTATACGTATTTACATATACACAATATATATATATATATATCGATAGAAATTTTTTACTGATCTACATCTTGCATGTTTTGTTTTGATTTATAACAGATAAAAAAGTTCATGTACGGTACGTAGGTCGCTTCTTCAACCAACCATAATATACTAACTACCGATTTAATTTAAATAATGGAAAGTATGTTTTTTATTATTATACACTTATATTAACACTCCATGATGATTTTTTTTTCAACATAAAAGTCATTGATCCTAGCACCCACACCCGGACAAAAAATTTAAATTAAAATATCTCTAGTTCCTGAGATATTTTAATTTAAATTTTAGTATTTCTAAGGGTCTGACTTTAATTTGAAGGTATATAATAAAAGTCATATTTTTTATCCTAGTCGGGGATTTCCCCCATGGAAAATACAAAAAACATGATTTTTATGCCTTTTGCTTTATCCTAGTTCGGGGATTTCCCCCATGGATTTGGCAAATATCTATGTTGAGATATTGACTTATTCTGAAATAGAGTTTTACGAAAAAAAATCCAAATAACTTTATATATTAACTAAAATTGAATTTTTTTAGGCAAAAAAAGAAAACCAAATTCGAAAGATTTAAAACTTTAACGTGTTTTCAGTAAATAATATATTTAAATCTGTATCCTCATCGCTACTATGACTATCATATTCTTTATCTTCATCTTTACAAAGCAAATCTTCAATAATTAATATATCATTCAAACTCTGTTTAAATAAGTCACTAACCGTAATTAATTTTTCCATAAATGTAACGAATTCATTTTCATTAGGTTTGTGGACTGGCAGAGCAATTTTTACTAGTTCTTTCATGTGAAATAATGGATCGAACTTCCGTTCAATTATGTAAACCACTAAAGTAGTACCTAAAAGGAGATAGATTAAATGAATTAATTTAAATTAAATAAAATAAATTAAAAAAAATATTTTACCATATATATGAAGGGCGAATAATTTTAGTCTTTTCAAAATAGATAGAATTAAATTTGACTTAGTTTGATTCTTGCAATTATTATAAATGTAATCCCATGAATCTTTGCAGAATTTTCCAATTCTTCTTCGATTTTCAAGAATGTGGTTTTTTACATTAATATTTCCAAGATTTACAAAAGGGCCACCTGATACTTCGAGATAAAAAAATTCATATCGTAAATTTTTTATTTTTTGGCTTGTCAAAAACCAAAAGTTATCTGGACATCGTCTAGGGCCATCCTGATTATTTCGACATTTTGTTGCAACACTTTCAGCGCTATTCCTGAATTACATAATATTAAAATAAATAGTGAATAATAAGTGAAAAAAAAACTTGCTTACCAAGCAGTTTGAAAAGTATGCTCGGTATATCCTTGCAAAAACTCAACAAGATGAATGATATAATGACAGGAGAATGTTGATTCAGTTATTGATCTATCTTGCTTTTCGTATTGACTATCATTCCAAATATCTTTCCTAATTAAAAAATAAAATATTTAAAATATTTAAGCTATATCGATATGTGCTTAAATAATTAATTAAAATACAGGATCCCCATATTAAAAGGAGGCAGTGGGGCTTTTTAATTTTGTGTAAAAATTTGGCAACAATTTTAAATCTACTAATTTAGCTCTTCAAAGTGTAAAAGTGTCAACTTGTTTATTATATAGACAAAATAATTTGAAAAGTTAAATAGGTAGATATAAAATTGGTGCAAAGTATTTGCGCAAAATTAAATTTCCTACTACTGTCTTCTTTTGCTATGGAGAGTTTCATATAATAAAAATATACACAGTTTTTTTGCAAAAATATGAAACAATTCGAATTTTACTATATCATGTTCATAATTAGAAAATGGAATTCTGACAATTTTATTATTTAAATGTTCCAAAAGAAAACTTTTGTATTTTAAAGGTAAGTTAATCGTCGTGAACTTTGGCAAGCAAAATGAATCCCATAAATTTTCATCTTTCAGTGCTTTGTATATTGCTTCTTGTTTGTCTTGAATTTCATCATTGAATATTATTCCTGATAAAATTAAATCATTCGGAGAAGTTTTATCTCTATCAAAGAACTTGCTAATTGTTAAAGCTTCTTTTGAAAGGTTTTCAGAATATTTTAACTGTTTTACGTTAATATTTAGTCAATATTCATTAATTAAATTGATTAAATTAAATAATATTTACTTGAGAAATTTGGTCTATTGTTATATTTTTTTTTATTTCAGGATCAACCACATATTTATACTCATCAAATGAATCTTCTTGAGTAGCATAATGCTTAATCAATTCAGCATAAACGATAAAATTTTTTCTTTCATAATATTTACTTAATACTTCAAACAGCTCCTGGTATTTTTCATCTATTTCTGTATTTGTCTAAATTGTTTGTAGTATTCTTTTTTAATCGTTTCTGAAATTTTTTTATCATTAAAATTTATATCGTCATTAATACAGCAGTAAATAAAAAATTGGATCAAATTGGGATTATTTTACACTTAACATGGTGAAGAAAAAGTTTGATTTAAATGCTTTTTTTTTTTTAAATCATAATTTTATATATGATTGAAACAAGTATTTAAAAGGCAGAAAAGAGTTCGCATAATTCTGCAAAAGTAAGTACGGATACTTTTGATATACTGAATAAAAGTTTTAATTAGTAATGCTTATCGTTATCGTTATCGTTATCGATATATAATAAGTTGCTTAGTAATGCATATTATCTAGTCGCTGTGTTATCGTTATTTTATAGGTCACCTAACCAAACAGATCCCAAATTTCCAGGTCGGAATGCATCGGAACCATGCCCTGGTCGGATGGGCCAGAATTGATCAATTTTACCCGAGATCATTAAAATTTGATTTTTTTTTTTTTTACAATATATAATTAAATGTATTTAATCATACTTATACGTAAAGTTTATTTTAAATTAAAGTTTATGAATAATAGATAATAAATAAATAATTGGCAATTTCTATTTGTACACCCGCGTATGAAACACCCGCGTATGAAACACGGGTATATTAATAACTCAAAATTTTGTCTATGAAACCACTTTTCGAGTTCTAACAAAAAAAAAAAATCTACATAAAATTTTAGTATAAACAACCCCTAACCCTAACCTATAACCTAACCTATTTTAACTTTAATTCGATTTAATTTTTTTCTTTAAATTTTCTTAGAGATCAAGAATTAATGGCCCGATCTAACCGGAATTAGTATATTTCTATAATGCAATTGCAGATCTCGGTTTATATAAACCGGATCAAGATCAGATCATTGAACATCCCTAGTTTCATACGTGGGTGTAAATTTATAAATTTTCTAAATAAAATAAATTTGCAAATAAATTGGTTTAAAATTCTATCGCTATAGGTTTCTACAATTAAAAAAAAAAGCTCATCATAATTTAATACTGTATTATGAGTATTTGTTTATTTGTATAATTATTCCACTATTTTCTTTTCTTTCTGCAATATTTTGTTTATATTGCAACCATTTTCATATTATTTCAAAAAATAATTTTTGAGTATGAAAATTTATATATATATATATATATTGCTAATAAGAGTTTAAAAACGTTATTTACTATATTTTTTAGCTTAACCATACTTGTATTTTATATTTATTTATTACTAAAAAACTTAGAACTAGCTTAGCTAATAGACTAATATCAAAAAATAAATATATTGTAAATTTATACAAATTTTTATTAATCAAAATTTTGTACAAATTTTTATTAAAAATTTATGCAGAACTTTATTAATATAGTATAAGATTTAACAAAATTTTATTAATATAAATTTTTAAAAAATATAATATGAAAATCAACTCTTTTCGACAATCATTTGAACAAAAAATTCCTACTAACAGAAAAATAAATCTTTGTTAGAGAGTTATGGTCTACATAGTGGTTTGTCTAGAGATCAACGTTTTTACTTATAGGACTTCTCTAAGAGACTTTTGGTATGCAAGCCAAGAGCATTTTTATACAAAATAATTGGCATGAACACCCTTGTATAAAAAATCTTGAAGTTTTTATCGAAGCCAGGCCGGACACGAGTTAGCCTTAATAAAAAGATTGAAGCTTACTATTACTTAG